AACTGTGGATCCGACATAAGTCGGATCCGCGTAAGTCGGGGACTGCCTGTGTGTATATATGTGTGTGTGTGTGTGTGTGTGTGTGTGTGTGTGTGTGTATATATAAATAGAGAGAGAGAGACTCCAATTTTAATCTGTAAAAGAAAGGTCTTCTAAAAGTTAAAAAAGGACATGATGAGAATATTAAAGTTCTCAGTCATGCTTAGGAAACAAAGCAACTGTACCTTTTAGAAGACCCAGAAGGAAACTGGAATGGGTGGAGTGATCAGTGACTGGAGAGAGATTAGTGTGTGTAATTGGGGAAACTAAATGTCATTGGATGCTGAAGAGGGGTGTGTTTGGAGTTGCACTGTTTGGGAGAGGAGGGCAGATTTATTACAATCTAGAAACATCTAGAAGAAGATAGGGGATCTGACAACATGGCTGATATACAAAGCAGGCAAGTCCTCTTGCTGTTCAGTTTTCATAGAGCTGAATTGACTTCATAGCAGTGTCTCATTTCAACTGTAGTAAATGTGAAAGCTGCTAATCAGTTATGCAAATGCGTGATTTGTGTTCAGGGATCTTCGCATCAATGAATTAAGTTCTCATTCAAAATGCCTGAAGATGAAGTAAGTGATTAGATGGACAGAAGTAATGAAACAGAGAATTCTTCTATTCTAAATGAAAACACTGTCAAGAGACATCACCCTGCAAGAAAACTGCAATAAACTCCTTGCTTTGGATCCTTCAGGACCGTACATGTTACGTAAGAAACTTTGGTTACTGAAGTAGAAGAGCACAATACTAATGATTCTGATGATTATGCAAATGAGACATTTACAATATTGCCGCCACCATCATCGAAATGTAGCCACAATAATGTCATTCCCTGATCCTGGTATTCCAGCAGCCTTTCAATGTTCTTCTGCAGGCACTCTCAGCCTCATCTATGGATGTCTGAAAAAAATGATGGATGCCCCAGCTTACAGTGACTTGGGGAAAAGTCAAAGTCTGTGCATCTGTATTTACTTCCAATGAATAAGCTGAAATATGAGACTAGCACAAACAGGACTTTAATCCAAACACAGCACACATTTTACACAACAAGGAACTCTACAGAGGGTCCTACCCTTACAAAAGGAACTGAAGGTAGTTTGGACAGGCTGCTGACACTATTGTCACAGCTGCCATGCAATTCTGGCTTGACCTAATGAACTGGAATCACACAAGGATAAAATGAAAAGACAATTCAGAGGAGCTCTGTAACCTTTCCATTCTTGAGCAGATGCAGCTGATCCCAAATAAACAGATGACAGGAGGAGCACAAAACAGAATGAGGATGCTAAAACACTGCTGATGCAATATAATCATTAATTTCCTTTTCTTCCACCATGTAAAAGTGGAGATCCAGATTTCTACCTAGAAACTGTGTTAGTAAAGATATTCTCATATGAGCTTGTTGCTTGAAAATGGTGGAAAAGTGTGCAAGAAAAAAGATAGAAATTTTTTTGAAGACCTGCATTCCTGTCCAGCCAGCACACACTTTCATGCAGGTTCTTAGCATTTAGCATGATCAACACTTGGTAACAGAATATATTAGAGGCAGAAAAAAGCAGTACACAGAAGAGTGGTAGAAGTCTTATTGGACAGCAGATATGAGAACCTAGGAATGTGTGTTTTTCTTGTAGGATTATAAGCTTTTCGCTTTGTCCAACATGTACAATTTCGTGTGTGAGAAAGCTGGGGATGGGAATGGCATAATATGAGTTTTGTGTTCATTGTATAGAACTTGCGAAGTTGGTCGTCAGTTGGATCTGTTGGTGACAAAAAAAAAATCTCTCTTTGGAGGAAGCTCTGAGCTACTGCCACAGTATTAGTGCTACTACTTTTTGATGGTTGCCCCAGATATAGGACCTGGATATCTGTGCTGTAACACATACACAACTTCAAATCTCATGCACGGGGATCATTATACATCTCTTCTATATTTTGATACTGTGATAAGATGTAGAAATGGCATAAAGCCAGATGTTTTATCACAAGTGAGTCTAGCTCACAAGAACAGATACGATCATAAAAAAATTATAAATCAATTTATTCAAACAGCCTCCCACTCATAATTAGACAAGCCTTTTACAATTTTTAACATTTAAATTTAATATTTGTATTTGCATTTTAATACTGTATTCTTGTTACTGCTTGTATTTTATATATGGCAAATGTTGTGCAGTATTTTGCTGCATGCAATAATGTTCACAAATTCTTTGTGTCTGTATTTAGGACATCAGCTTGAACTAACACAGCCAAAACCACTACTCCATGAGAGTAAGGAAATTTGTATGGTAAACGTATCTCTAGCTACAATTATGGTTATTAAAATAAACTGTTTAAAATAATCTGCAGCTGAATTCTGATAAACAATTTGGGCCTTAAAAATCCATAGCGCCTCTCTCAGAAAAGAAAGATATGATCCAAATGGATTTGTCCTATTTTTACAGATTAATATTCAGTTTTAGAAATTATGATCCATCCACATCTCTTTATTATGGGGGAAGGTTTCCCTCACAAGTAATTTCTAAATTACCCAAGAAAATAATGAGTTAATTGAGTGGATAGCACTATTAGAGGGTTTAAGTCAAGCATCTGTGTACAGGCAGTCCCCAAGTTACGAACGGGGCTTTCTCGCCCGGGAGCTCGCAGGCAGCGGGACCGCCCAGAGCGCAGCAGTCCCGCCACCTCGACCTCCGGGGCGAGAAAAGCTGCTGCGGGTGTCCCTGGTCTGCTGGGAGGGGTCCCCAGCAGACCAGGGACACCCAGAGCAAAGCCTTGGAGGCGCGGGACCCCCCGCCTC